TCACTCACTGAGAAGCTTTCCCTGAGATCGTGCACGGTAGCGAACAGAACGGCTGGCCCTGATCTACACCAGTCTGACCACTCTGCCGTCCGACTGAGCAGCCAAAGAATGCCTCGTGCTCACCAACTTAAAACTGTGTCGGCCTCGAGATAATACTTTTGAAAGTAGTATTCCGGGAACGATCAACTTGTAAGCAGCAGGCGTCCTTTTACTCGATACTCACTCTGCTACTGTGCACATCTGCAGGCAGATAATCTTTACGCGGTTCGTTTAAATTACACGAAAATCCTTATCAAAATCCACTGTATCCCAATTTACTGCTTCGGTGACCCCCCTTGGGAACCACCCGTCAGTCTGAACAAAACGCGACCCTAAGGAAACGACTCAATACTTTTCGCATGGCTCTTCTCGGTTGGTGCTTAGTCGATTGCATTAGGGAGTTTCCACACGAACTGGCAGTATTCAACTAGTTGCATCTAAGCGCTCTGTGAGCTCCATCGTGAGTCTCATGTTACCCAGTGGGTAGTCCATGCTATTCGCACGTCTCCGGTTTGAGGGGATGGACTTTGTTGGCTCGAACCTACTTTACGAACCATAAATCCTGTGGTGATACAGGCGTAAAATGAAGGTTGTCAGGTCGCTGCTCATTCGACGGACTATTTCCTCGTTTCGCGATTGTGATTTAGATAAGGCCACAATGGTACTCTTTCCTGAAAAAGGAATTTTTTGCATATCTATCCGATCGCTTCCGTTTTCTAGTCGGCTAAGACTATCCTTAGTATCGTAGCCTTCGCCACGGCCGGAAATAACGTTAGTAAATCCAGGACTTGCGTGGTCTACCGTGGAGGAAACGAGTCCGAACTCCCTCGGTGACACTTGCGTGTCTCTGATCGTGGGCACGAAACTTCTGGTAGCGCTGCATCCTAGAGAAAGAAGCGCTAAGCGCACATGCCCGACGGCGCTGCTCTGGAAATGCCAACGTTCCAGCGTCCGAATAGGTTGGACAGCAATTCTGACCCTGTGGCCGGAAAGATTAATTTCGAGCACACACAGGAGAAAAATCCAGTCCGAACCCAATTTTCACTGATATTCTGAAATTCAGTCGACGATTCACCGGCGCCAAGCTATCGAGGCAAGGGGCAATCGTTTCACTTTTCGAACGCAAATGCTGTAATGCAGGCGATTCCAAGAGGCCGGTGTCGCGTTTGTAAAGTAATCCACGTTAGCTTACACCATTCATGAGGTGAAGAGATGCTGT